AAATATGAGGAAACTGTTTCCATAGCAACACTTCTGTGAAGCAGGCTGTGCATGGATTACAGTCCCATTTTACAAAAGAGGGAAAATGACTTCCTCAAGGCTGAAGAACCAGCAAGTGGCAGAGCTGGGGTAAGTTCCGTCAGACAAGGCTGCCTCTCCCTGGGCCATCATCATTCTCAGCAGGACCTCTACCTATGCAGTGAAAGGCTTGGAGAACTGTGATGCACAGTGACAGGTCAGGGAGGGTCTTCTGTCTTGTCTTTAAGCAGGTCCACTTTACCTCTATGGCTCTGATGGTGGCCAAAGCCCCAGATTTCAGCCCAAGATTCCCCTTGGACAAGCACTGGCCCAAGAGTGAAGTCTGGTGTTCTGATCTTGGTTTTATCAATAACTCAGCCATTACATTTCTGCAAGATGGTGGGGTTCCCCACGGGAAATGCCGGCTGGGTTGACTGACCCCTTCCCTTGCCCTGAGTCCGTGGTGGGATCTCCCCGGCCCCAGTGAGTAGGGGACATCCATAATATAGTGGACTTGGAGCTGAAGGAGCTTGCATCACTCTAACCACCCAGTGATCTTAGGCAAGTCATTTAACCCTCATGAACAACTGCTCCATGCAATGAGTGTTTGATCTCCAACATCTTTCCCTTCCAGATCTAACATTCTATGAGATTCTCTAAGCCCAGAATCCAGGGGCTAACACCCATTCCTGCCACTCAGATCATCCCATCTCTAAGTCCTGTACAGGAGGAGCTAGGTCTGGTCTAGAAGAAAGAATCTGGCGTTAGAAGGGAGGAGACTTGGGTTTTAGTCCTGGCCCCACTACTAATTCACTATATAACTTTGGAAAAATTTACTTCTTCCATAGAAACGCTGTAGGCATCTACACAAGAGGCTTAATAATCTCTTGCCTACCTTGCAGGGCTGCTGTGAGGAGAATACAGTAGACAGTAGCTGGAAAATGCTTTGGAAAGTGAAAAGCATTATACTAATGCATAGAGTTGTGGGGGCAGAAAGCCAGGCCCAGGTGTGTTCCCTAGGCATGAGGCTAAAGGGGTAGGGAATGGGGAGTTGGCTAGGTGCAATGGAAGGACTGTCCACTCCCCAGGAGAGAGAGAAGGAGTTGAGAGAAAGCTCAGGACCCCAAAGCCAGCCCAACCCCTGGTCCTCCCCCCATGAGCTCTTGTAAGAGCACGCACTGTTTTATCAAAACAAAGTAGGATACTCTGAAAAATAGGGAAGGGAAGGAAACTGGGGAGAAAAAAGGAGGGAGAGAATGCCAAGCTGCCCGACCACCGGCGCCCCGCTGTTGATGCCATACAAACCATCCATTAGAGGCCGGAAATGTTTGGCCACTTCCAAGACTAAGCTGGGCCAGGAAAGAGGAAAGGCATTTTGGACCTCAAAGACAGCCTTAGGTACCTGGGGCAAAAGTCATGTTATCCCTCAGATATGGAGCTGGAGCCCTGTTGGGGGTTGCTTGCTATTTGCAATAAGTCTCTGGATTTCCAAAGGACTGGCTTTGTTAAGGGTGAAGAGGGTAGTGGTAAGGAGGGAGGGGTGGGGGTGGTGTGTGATGACTGGCGGCCCATCTGGGAGTGATTTGAGAGATTCCAGAGCTCACTGGCCCCAGGCAGCCTGCTGGGCTATTCTTAAACCCTATAATTATGGGACCAGCACCGTCCAGTGGTACTGTGGGTCCTAGAACCATTAACCCCTCAACAGGCCCAGGGGATGGGGCCATGTTGTTGCTGGGGCAGGGGTGACTCAGTGGGGGAAGGGAAACAAAATTGAGGTAGGAGAGGGAGAAGAACCACAACGTTCAGTATCACATGTGCTGGGAGCAGAGCCCAGAAGGCAGGAAACGGTGGGTGGAGGGCAGGGCACCACAGTCTTAAACAGTGATATTTCGATCCCTAGGTGGAGCTCAACGGGTTATTTTTCTAGGCCTGGTCAGCCCAACCTGACAAAGTGAGAGCTGTCAGGAGGGATAGAAGGGATAGACACTGTGCTAGAGTGGTGAGAACTGCAGACTTGGAGTTTTAAGACTGGAGTATCATCCCAAGCTTCCCCTCTACTAATTCTGTGACCTGAAGAAGTGATTTCACTCCCTCAGTTTCCTCATCTGTAAAATGTTAATAACAGTCCTAATCACAGTATCCTTATGCTTGTTCCATTTACCTCACACAGTCACTGAGAGGAAAGAACTTTGTAAAATATAAAGAAATGTGAACTAGAAGGCTTAGACTTTGCTATTTTCTGATTCTGAGACCTCTGTACACAGTAGGTGATTAATAAATGTTGACTGAATTGAACCAACCTGATTCAGGACCCTGAGGGAAGCCATCGAGGTGCGTGGCAAGCAGCACGCCCAGGCAGTGGCGAGGGAATGGACAGATCTAACCACCTCAGGACTCTCATCAAACTGGATCCAATCCAACAATTTATTAAGCCGCTGCTGTGTGCAGAGACCTAACTGCACAAGGCCTGTCAGTGACTCCCTCATATCCAAAGGGTGTCACTCAAGAATTGAAACTTGGCTCACTTCATGTATTACACTGATTAGTTTGTACCCTGTATCTCAGTTTTATCATCATTTGTGTGACTTTCTACTAGCCCATAAGCTTCATGAGAACAGGCATCAGGTTGTCTTCAAACTTTGTGGCTCTTCTAGGCCCTGGCCAAGGGCTCTACACACAGTAGGCACATGGCAAATGTGTGCAGGATGAACTGTGTGTTTGGTACAAGCAGTTTGGTTTCCTTAGCAGAATAACTCTTAAAGGGTATGGTTTTCTGCTCTGTGCCAGGCCTCACTCCTCGGTCATTCCAGCAGGCATGGCCCATCTGCCTTAATCCTCCCTCATGCCCAGCCTCATGATGATGAACCCAGAAAACAGGGAGGAATGGTGCCTCTGACTGGCTGGGTGATCCCGAGGACTTCTCTCTGGGCCTCAGTTTCCAGCTCTGACAATCTCTGCTCTATGTTCAAAGGTCCTTTCTAGCACTCCCATTCCATGTTCATAGAATCGCAGATTTAGATCTGAAAGGGGCCTCCGAGTCCAGCTGGTCTAGCCCTCTCATTTTACAGATTTGTAAACTGTGGGCCAGGGTGCAGTCTGTTACTTAGCTGTGTCATACAAGCCCATGTTATTTCTACTGCTATTTCTTAGACCAGGCTAACTCCTGAGGGCTCCTTCTCAACAGCGACAGTCTGTGATTTTTAGTCCTTAGGTCCTGCCCAGCAGGAGTGTCCTTACAGTACCAGAAAACCTGGTGAGAAAATCCATGGACTCCCATGCTTTGGTCAGAAGTGGTTGATGTGGAAAAGGGAGAGGTCTGTTCCCAGAGTGCAGGAGGAAACAGGACAATAGGCGAGGATCCTGGGTCCCAATGAAAGCTTTGCTGGCAACCTCAGTCCTACCTTTCTCCTATGGGGCTGAGATGACCCCAGAGGGGTGGACAGTGCTTCATACAGCAACCTCCCCGCAATGATACACACACTTAGCTGGACTATATAAATGCTGAAGTAGGGAGGGCTACAGAGTGGGGTTCTGCCCCTCAGGCTTGGTTTAGCTCTGGCTTCCACACCCAGATCTGCCAGGTTCTTATATATGGTGCCGCCCCAACCCCTGACCAGCTGTACTTGAAGTCACTTCTACCTCCCCTGGGCATTATCCCTCTAGGTCAGGGGTTCTTAACCCTTTTTGTGTCATGCTCCCCCCACCCTTGGCAGTCTGTTAAAGCTTAAGGACCCTTTTTCTGAGTAAGGTTTTTAAATACATAAAATAAAACATATAGGGCCACAAAGGAAACCAATTATATTAAAATACAGTTCTCAAAATATTAAAAACAAGTCCACCCACCCTGCTCTAAGTTAAGAACTCCTTGCTCTAAGATGAATCCAGCCTACCTTTTTAACTTAATTTTTCCTGCTACTTCCCTAAATGCACACTTCACTCCAGAGAGGCTTATCTCCTCATTAGTCTCCAACTCTCACCACAAACGTGGTGCTCATTTCTACCCCCTTTGTCTTTGCTTACACTGTTTCCCCTACCTTCCCACACCCCACCCCCACTCACTCACACTCTCTCTTTCCCCTCTCCTCTCCAAATGCTACTCATTGCATCAAAGCTTGCCTCAAGCTCCAACCCCTCTAGGCCATCTTTTTTAGCTCTTCCAGCCTGTATTCATCATTCTGCCTAATGAATCCCTACCCCTTCTTCAATGTCCACTTCAAATCTCCCTTTTCTATGAAGCCTCCCCTGATCCTGCCAGTTGGTAATGATCTTTGCTAACTTTAAAAAGTAGTCAGGACCACATGATTTAGTTCTTAATTGCTAGCCAGCTCCTCCTAGGAGATCCACTTGTATGCACTCCTAGAAGGCAAGGGCCACGTAAAACCCTCACAAGGCTGCCAGCATTTACACACTGCTGATAAAGACCTCATTATCAATGTTGACCCAAACAGAGACACTAAGGCCTGGAGGATGGTGGAGAGTCAGCTCCTAATCATCCCGGGATATTTGATTTAGAGCTGGAAGGGGCTGTAAAGTTCATCTAGTCCAACCCCTTCACTGGAAAATGAGGACCAAAAAAATTAAAAGACCTGTGAAAGGTCCTCAAAGTTTCATAGGTAGGGCAAGGAACAAAGCCAGCACCTGAGCCCAGGTCTACACCGTGCCACCCTACACCATGTGCCAGAGTGGATGCAGATCAAAGCACCACCACCAGATAAACCAGGTCCTGAGCCACCCTTTACTGACTCCCCAGTGAAAACCTTCAAAAGCCATGCTCCCTGATGAGACCCCCTCCTCAGCCAGGGTGTTCCCTGGGGCACTGAAGCCACTGGTATTTCTATTCAAATATTTGGGATGGAGCCCCCAGCTTTCTTCCTCACTCTCCACCCCCAAGCATTATCATAAAGATGTCTCCTTGACCCCCTGCTCCCGCCACACATCCCGAGCACACTTATACACATTCCAGGGAACACAGAAGCTCCTACCCGGGGGAAGTGTTGAGGGTGAAGGAGGTGAGGGCGCTGGAGAAGCAGCGAGTGTCCCACAGCTTTACTTCATGCTCTCGCATCTACAACAAAAGATCAAGGGGTTCAGAGGGTCAGCTGTTTTGACCTAGGGCTCTGAAGGGTTCCTTCCAGATCCCTTACCCTCAGGTCAGCAAAGTCTATCACCCAGGAAGAGAAGTTTTGTGTTCACAGTCACTCCGCTCACTTCCTCACCAACTGCATTAAAGGAAGGAAGGTCCTTCAAGGAAGCAGGGTGCGAGGTGGGGTGGAGTGCGAGCATGAAATGGATAGGGGGTGTTTCCTTCCCTACTAATCCCTCACAGCAGCATCCCCCCCTCCTTGACTTGAACTATCACCCCAGACTCCTTGTCCTCAGCAGGGGCTGGCCATGGTTCCTAGGGTCAGGGTTAGCTATTCCAAATGGAATTTGTTGATTTCGGCAGCTGGGTCCCCTGGGGGCTCTAAGACCTGGCTATGTGACTGTGGCCGTATATGGGCACATTTGGGGCAAGGCATGCCTGGCTCCACCCATTCCCTGGGCATACGGGTGACCCCTCTGAGCTCATGCTGGCCCTGCCCATCTCTGACTCCCCCTCAGGCCACCAAGAGAGAGGTATTTCTTCCTCCCTCTTCCCCCCAAAACACATACATACACAATGTTGTGGTAATTAGGATGCCTCCTCAAATAAGGTTACCACATATGCCAAGAAAGACTAATTATTTAGGCTTAGATGAATGCGCATAAGCACCACCCAGACTTGGGCTGCAGACCCCCTCCCCACACAAGGGGCTCTGGCCTCCTCGGGTTGAGCTCTGCTGACCATTTCTTTCCCTCAAGGACACCATACCTGGTTTAATCCAGTAGACAGCAGATGCTCCTGGGAGTTGGTCCACACCAGTCGGCTGTCCTTGTGGTTCTCGTGGCCCTGGGTGCTCTGAAAGAGAAGGTCCAGTTGGGGGGAAATGATAAACCTGCCTATTTTCCCAAAAAACAGGACTGGGCAGCCCTTCCTGGAGACCAGGGGATGGGGACAGCAGAGCAGAGAATCCTTCCCAATGAAGGGCAGCCATCAACCTAATAATAACATCACACACTTCTATGGTGCTGTAAGATTTACAAAGTACATTCCTTAAACCATCGCTTTGGGTAGGTCATGCAAATATCACAGCCCTATTTTGCAGATAAAGAAACTAAAACTCAGTGAAGTGACTTGACTCATCCAAGATCAATCCAATCCAATCGACATTTGTTGAGTGCTTAGGGTGAGAGTGAGGATCTGAACCTGGGGATTTTTCCTGACTTCAAGTTCAGAGCTGCTTAACCCAGCCCCTGACTAAAAAAAATGAGGGGCCTCAGGGATAAAGCCTGGGGTGGGGGAGAAGGGGGGAACCAAGGCACTAGAGTTTCTAGTTATAATGTAAAGATAATTCCCAATTCTTCTTGGCACAGTCCCAGACCACCCTTTCTCCCTATGCCTTGCCTCCTGATTGAGGATGGGGTAAATGACTCACAGACCAAACTGGCCATGACCCAGAGGCAGGAGTATGGCTCCCCAGACCTTCCCTTTCCCCTGTAAAACGGAGATTGGGAACTCAGTGCTAGGGCATGAAAATGCTATCCTCCTCTTCCTACCTATCAGAGCCTCATCCAGATACGCAGAGAGACGGGCAAAGTTCCTTGAAAAGGACAGAAAACAGGGCAGAGGCCAATGGGGCCCTGACCCTAGGACCTGTGGCCAGGACAACGACTGCCAGGCAATGAGTAAGGCAAGTAGGAGGTGGGGAAAAATGAGTGTTGTTGAGAGAGGGCAGGAGAAAAAACACCATCTGTTATTCCCTTCATGATCTTAACTGGAGCAGTGTACCCTAAATCTCACTTTTTGGGGAACCTATTCTCCCCTTGTCATTCAGCCCCTTCCAGGGAAGAGTAGTTTTAGCTACTCTTTCCCTAAGTGACAGATGTGCTGACAGTTGTGGGTCCTTAGATAGAAAGAATTCATCAGGGCTGAGTTTGAGGGCTGGTGCCAATCTGAGAGCATGTAATAAAGCTTTGGGTCATACTACACACCCAATCTCAATGTTCTTAGCTCCTTCATCTTTCATGCCTCCCCAAGGTAGAAGGCTCAGAGCACCCTGGAAAGAGATGGAGACAGAGATAAAAGGAGAAAATGAGATCCTTTTAATGACTGTCTCAAAATATCAGCCATTGGGAAGGATCTGTAGGAGTAAGGAAACTGGCTTAATACTAAGGAAAGAATCGAGGACAGGAAGGCATCTGCTTTCCAGAGGCAGGGGTCAGCATATTGATGGTGGTATGTTTGATGCCAAAACTCTGCAGGATGATGTCACCTGGGAGCCTGAAAACACAGATGCTCTCACAGGGTTCAATATCCTCTCCAAAAGGCCAACAAGTATTCTCCCAGCTGAGTATGAAGAACCCACTCACTAAAGCTACAATGGCATCTGGGACCAGGTGTCTATTCCAATGCCCCCCTGCCGCCCCCTGCTGCCTCTGCTGAGAGCCAGCTTTCCAACCTGCCTCTGCCTCAAAGCTCAAATTTCAATGTTCCTTCTCCTTCTAGTTCAAATTTTGCCACATACTAGCTGTATGAGCTAACTTCTTGGAGCCTTGATTTCCTCTATGAAATGTGGGCAACTGGTAACTCGATTTTGATAACATGACAGAACCTGAGTCACAGACAGTCGTAATATTTCAGGGCTGGAAAGGACCTCACAGATCATATCTTGTCCAACCTCCTCATTTTATAGAGCAGGAAATGGAGGCTCACCAAGGGGAACTGATTTGCTCAAAGTCATAGAATAAATCTGTGGTAGATCAAGGACGAGAACTCTGACACTGTGGCTGGGGTTGGGTGTGGTACTCCTTCCAGGTCAAATGGCTTCAGAATTGGAAGGCTTGGTTCAGGCCCTACCTCAGTCATGGATCCCCTCTACAATACTCATGACAGCTCTGCGTCAAACTCTCCAGTGACAAGGAACCATCGTCTTCTGAGGCAGGCCATGCTACTTTGGAGCAACCAATTAGTAGGAAATTCTTCCTTCCTCACACTGGGACAAAATCTTTCTCCTTGTGATTTCCACTCATCAATGTCTTTCCAGGTCCAGATCCTGAGATGCTATGAAGGTGACACAGATCAGTTTTGGATGGGGATGGGATGGACAGGTGGGTGAGTGTAGAAAAAGCAGTCATATGGCCTGTAGGAAGCCTAGGGCATCAGGGTCCACTACTGATGGGATAACATTAGGACTTGGGGTACCTAGCACAGGAAAAGGAGGGAGGCCAAAGAGAGAAGGCAGAGGGGTCTGAAAAGACAATAGAAAGGATGCCAGGGGCAAATTCTGTCTATTTGACAACTTTGTCCAAGGCCAACCATGGAGACAGGGCATGATGCCAGGCTGTGTGGTGTCCCTGGAGAAGGCAGAGAAGTGCCCCCTTCAGTCTTCCATTTAGGGTCCAGGAGACTTCAGGAAAACCAGACTGACAGAGGAGAAGACTTCACACCACAGCCTCGCCTCCTCCATACAACCCCAGAAAGGAGCTGTGCTGAGGCAGGGAAGAACTGAGGGGGGCACGACAGGAGAAGGAGGAAATATGAACAGATCCCTCCCCGTCACCCGGGCCCCTGGAGCCTGAGAGCATGGACTCTGTTACCAAAAATAGCTCACCCCAAACTGTGGCCAGCTTCCTCTGAGCTTCCCACGATCTCCTTGGGAACAAGGAAAGCAGGCGGCCCAGCTTCAAGCACGGAAGTTGATGATCTGCAAGTCCTCTCCCCTTCCCCCGACCCCCGCTGAGCCTGACCCCAGCTGAGCCTGACCCCAGCGTGGGAGATGCTGCCCCTCTCATCCCCCCCAAGAGGGACAATCTGAAACAGCTTCGTGTCATTCAAAGGGTCTTTTCTCACCATTCCCTTCCCTCCTTGACTTAACCCAACACAGGAAGTTAGAGCTGAAGCCTGAGAACCAAGCCCCCAAAAGCAGCTCTCCCCAGAGAAGTCATGCCTGGAGGTCACCAAGGGGCCCAGAGGACAGCTGGCAAAATGTCAGCTTCATCCTAAGCAGAACAGGTAGCCACCTAGGAGAGGGCATTGTCAGGGGCCTAACGTCTAAGGCCTAATTAGAGATTACTTCCTTTTGTTGGAGGTCCCTATGTGGTACAGAGTCAGAGAACCTGAGTTCAAATCTTGACTAGGTCACTTGGGTGACCTTGGATGAGCTACATAATATCTCTGGGCCTCAGTTCTTCCTCTATGAAATGTGGACTAAGTGGATTTGAAGGTCCCTTTGAGGTTCTATGATCTTTTAGGACAGCAGCATGGTGTGGTAGAAAAGGCATCAGATTCGAACTTCTGTGTTTAAGCCCCGGCCCTGCTATTTCTTCCAAGAAATTTTTCTCCCAAGTTTTTCTGCAAGACAGGTAGGGCAGGTATTACTATCCCCATTTCACAGGAGGATCCTGAAGCACACAGTATTTAGCCAGAGTCACAAACCTAGTAAGTGGCAGAGCTAAGAAGAGAGGAAAGGGTTGTCCCCCACTCAAATTAGAGCCACCCCAGGACCACACTCACACCATCTCTCTCTTCTGCTCCCTCACACATACACTCCCAAGCTTTCTGAGACATACATTCATACTGGTCTCCTTCCTAAATCACTGGAGTGGAGAGAGGCCCACATTAACTGCCTCCCTACCAAAAGGAAAAAAACCAAATTCAAGTTTTTCAAAAAGGAAATTATTCCTCCCTGACTTATAAAAAATCCAAGAGAGGAAAAGCCTATCTATTTAGGCCCTTATAATACTTTACCCCCCTTAACTCCCTGCTTCCCTCCCTGAGGGAAAAGAAGGAAATAAGGATAGAACTCAGGGAACAGGGGCTAGGGCTCTGAGGCTGTGGTTGGCACCCTGGCCAAAAGTCACAGAAGATGGAAACAGCGTGGTCTGCTCATCAGACTCCCCCAGGGAATCTCTCAACCTCAGTGCAAAGTCTCTACTGAAAACTGCCCTTTCCCCTCATTTAGCAAGGCAGCAGCCCCAGATCAAAGCTCCTCCCTCAACACCTCCCCAGGTCACAGAAGTCTGAGAAAGACTGTCCTGAGGCCAGACCACGGGTCTCCCAGGAGGCCAGAAAAGCAATATCTGGATGGGATTCACCCAGGCAGCTGCTGTTTCCCCACTTCTAATGAGTACCAACAGGAAGCCAACCCTGATACTTTCATGCCCCCCTTCTTTTGCCCCTCTCACACACACCTAGACCATCATGCAAAGGCCAGCCTGGCCCCACCTGGGGCTCTCCAACCAGCCCCCTTGGGAGTCAGCACAAAGGCCAGGGCTCCCAGCCCCCAGAGCCCAGCTGAAGCTTTCTCGGGCGCATAGCAGGCATTCCAACTATAGATCAGTCAAATCCCCCACTAGGTCTCCATAGTAACATTTCCTGTGTGTGGCAAACCAGGGCTCAAAGGAAAAGCTGCTTAGTGGGTAAGGTCCATGGGGCTCCATCCTTGGGATGTGAGGCCCCGGGGAATAGGGGAGATAAGGGAACAGCACAAGGAAATAGGAAAGTGTATGTGCCCAGTGCTCCCAAGCACCAGGGAAGAACTTAAATGGCAATGAAAAGGCACTAGAAGGTCTAGGGGAGACCTGGGTACTGGGGCAGAAAACAGGTGGCACACAAAGCCGCTACTCATGGCCTGAGGCCATCTACTAGGAAGGTGGTATAACATAATAAAAATCAGATCCCTGGACAGGGAGTCAGGAGATCCGGGTTCAAGTGCTGACTCAACCACTTACTAGACTTGTGACTTTGAGTAAATCACTTTCTCTGTGCCTCCGTTTCCTCATCTGAAAAATGGGGGGAGGGAGTAGGTTGGATTTGATAGCTTCTATGGTCCCTTCCAGTTCTAAAGGGAATGGTTGAAA